ACTTCATAATGATTAAAAAATATGACTGTTTTTCAGCAATTTCGTTATAATATGCTACACGTAGTTTTCATGTATTTGACAAGGTTAATAAAACATTTAATAAAAGCGGTGATTACGGATGGACTTGTAAGATTAGCAATAAATGGGATCTATGAATATGAAATACTATTGAATCTTCTTACGGCTTTTTTTCTTGATCAACACTGCATTTTCCCTGGAAAAAAAAATTCAAATCAGTGGCAAAAATAGTCTCTCTAAAGAAAGTGTTTTTTAAATGGTTTCAAGAAAATCAAAAGTAGAAATATAATGTAATCTTGTACAGTCTCTGGCCAAATTATCAGATGCCCTATAATATTCCATGTTAAATCTTAATTATCAGGTAATACTATACAGCTTTATTGTTTTTAAGCAGCTGAAAATGGTTTGTACTTGCTTATGTTCGTGCATCAATTGGTTCATATTGTAATGCAGTACGTTAAAAATAAATAAAAATAGGAAATATATAAGGAGTCTCTTGAATAAAAACCCATTACATGAATGTTTGAACATAAAAGTATTGCATATAAACTCGTTCAAAACATGTAAGTATTAAAAAACTAGATCGTGTCTAATATTTTGGTCTAATTATTATAATATACTAATATAATACTTGCTGAAATAAATATTCTTTACTTCTAAAATATATCGTCTAATTTGTCCAATCGTCGAATTTATATTAAATATCGTCTAATTTAGCCATCTGATACACGAAGGTACACAAGTGCGTAAAGGTATCAGTCGCGTAGAAACAATAAAGCTGTATATAATCACCTGATAATTAAGATTTTACATAGAATCTTTTAGTGCGTCTAATAATTTGGCCAGGAACAGTGTATATAAAAAGCAAAGTCATCACGCACTCATCACTCAAACTTCCAAAGCAGTTAGAAAACTAAATATAGTTGTACTACTTGCAGTTATTTAATGTTACTTGCCAATACCATCAAGACTGATAAGGGAAATCAAGTGACATGAAGATAGAGGGGTGCGTTTTTGTTTTTGAGTGGCGCCATCTATGACCAAGAATACAATTTTAGTCCGACACACGTCAAAGCTCATTTTACAGAGAGGACCAATAAATTTATCCACCGATCGTAATTATGGACTGATTCAGAAAACGATCAAGAATTGATTTGTTATGAAAACTTGGAGAACTTAGAAACCTCGATAAATTTAACATGCGCACACTGGGATCCATCAGTAATCGGAATTCAGACTCACAAGCCTACAGACCAGGCTGTTCCGGTTCCATTATTATTGTACTTCCACCCAGCTGTGTGTATAATAGAGAAGTAATCATCTTCCTTTCTAGTTCCGTTGCAATAACATGCGAAACTGTCTAGTTCATACAAATACTTCTTTTCTCGCATCTTTTCCTTGTATCTAGCTCTTTAATTTGAGAGGTTGTTTAATTCTTTTATTTCGCAAATAACTGTTGATAAAATGAAACAGTAGGCGATGAAAAAAAACCTTCTTCAATTTACAACAAGATGGGGATCTTTAACATTATGCTAATTATTATGCATCTGCTAAGGTGTTAAATTTAACCATGTTATCCGCCGTAGAAGCTACCGATTAGGAAGCGAAGTTAAAAACCAATATATTGTCATTTGCAGTTGGTGTAAGTCAGTTTTTTCCTGCAAGACAATGCATCAATTTAAGTCCAAAAAACCTTCAGAGTGAAGGTGTTTTGGATAATAGGATGCTTGTCATGGATAGAAAAGCAGGGACTATCCTTAGTAGAATTGTATACACCAAAAAACAGCAGTTTGAGTCTGTGGCAAAATTGAAGGCTGGGATGATAGTGATTTTTTTCTGGAAGGCATAGAAAATGATACGCTACATCGTGTTTTTCCAGTTATGCTTGAAGACACGACAGGCAGGAACTGTTTACTCATTAGAAATGAAAGTTTGGTAATAAACTCTTTTAATACTAATACTGTTGTTTGGTTCTTGTTGAATCATGGGACATACTTTACTAGTAATTAGTAGCCCATTAAGTAATACATTTATCAAAATATTTAGACTTTAAGCCAATTATTTTATATTATTATTCAGATCATTATGCTTTTGCCCCTAGCAAATATAATTACAAATAACGTAATCTTTTACAGTATTTTTTTTAAAAAATAGTTTATAAACTTACTTCGCCTATCTCAGAAACATCCCTAGAAACGTCATAGAATACGTCACTAGAAAAATTAAAAAAAAAAAAACAATATATATTTATTTCCCTGTTTAATGTATCTTTAAATTGTAAATTTCATTATTACTTTATTAACATCTATGCGTGTAAGTTACTTCATGACTCGATAAAAGCTGTTTCTCGAAAGCTCTATCACCACATAAAATAACGGTTTTGCGAATATGCTATTTTCAAAAATACTATGAGTTTCAACAGTTATTTATGATTTTTAAGTCATGTTTAGCCTATTTTTAGCCAATTTTCTCTTTGCCAACTCTGTAAAACAGAAGCCAAGTTAATCTCAAGACCTTAATACACTCATGGGAAGCGATAAATCAAAGGAAATCTATTAATCCAAAGTTTACGACCAGAATGAGATCAAATTTGATCGACATCGATAACTTTAATTATGTCGATTTGTGCAGCTGTGATAACAGCAAAAGATTTGGATACAATGAAATATGATACACACTATATGCCATTAAAATTGCTATACTAGGAAGGCGACACACCACGAACGTGAAATTTCCAGGAAGGATAAAGCATGTTGTGGTATGCAAATGATTAGCTTATCAGTGCATTCATGCAAAGCAGGCAGTGGTAGCGACACCTACAATGTGTATAAAAGAAGAGATTTGACAGTAAGTTTCTCATACAGAAATTGAATTTGAGCATTGTTCTTGGATAAAAAAGTCTTTGTTATGCCTCGTGTAAGAAGGAGAAATGCCTAACAGCAAGTGTCTGAGTTTGATCGAGATAGAATTGTGGCCTACAGTGATTGTTTTTATTTTACCAAAGTATTGCTCCTCGCGTTGGTCGAGATCTCATGACTCTTAGCAGAATATGAAATCAATGGGTCATATGGAATGCTGGGCAAGATCTCAGCGTTCCTCTCCATCATTAACAGTCCAAAAGACAGACATGTTATCCGCATTGCCTTAAGGGATCGTACAGCTACGTCATGAACCCTCACTACTGTCGATGAATTGTGACATAATGTTGAAGCTGCAGGGAATTCTATACTTGTCTATGCTATCCAGTCTCTGTTCGACTCGATGCCGAGGAGAATGACTGCCGATATTGCTGCCAGGAGAGGCCGCTCTGAGTACTGATTGCTCAGGATCCAAATATTACGAAAATTTAAAGACTTGTTTTTCCAAATATAATGTATGTGCATAATGAATATCAGGATATTATTTGTATTAATTCCTGGTGTAGTAATTTTAATGGCCAGTAGTGCAGTTTTTCTGTTGTTATATTATTGCTTCAAATTTTATTTTTGAAAATAATTTTAATTAAATTAAAATTATAATTTGATTGGAGACATTTGAACACGAAAATATTACAATTTAGTTCTTAAGTTCGCAACTCTTTATACATATAGTATTAATCGAGTCATATTCTAATGTAACTTGAATTATGATATAAAAATTAATAAAATAAAAATGATCCATTTTTCATTCATTCAAACAATCAGCAGTTAGAAAATGCCAGAAACTTATAATTTTTAGAAACTTTTACACGCATATCGACAGAGACTCATTTTTTTTAAATACATTGCACGAAAATTAAAACTAAACCTTTTTTTCATGTGGAAATTTTTTTTGTTGAAAAATTAATTTGCGAATTAAAAACTTACAAGCACGCTGGTCTACAGTTTTTGATCCGACATTCAGAAATTTCTTTTGCTCTTTCTGGTGTAATCGTCTCTGAAATAAACAAAGATTATTACTATTTTAATGATGCCCAACAATTGCTTTTTAATTTTATCGAAAAGTTCTTTTTAACAATATCTACTGGTGCTTGCAAGAACTGCAATAACAATAAAATTAATGGCATCTACAGGGTAACAAAAAAGTATAGGGATCACTTTTGTAGTCATCTACCACTAAAGTTTTAAAACCTTTTTACATGTATAGCATACTGATCTAAAGCTCTGCTATTAGACTTTCAATTGCAATACTATTTCATAAAATCATAAAAATGCCTTTGAAGAAATTTGACAAAAAGCTGATTGGTCTAGTACAAGCTTTTTTGGAACTTCGATGGAGCCACAGGATTATACAAACCCATTTTAAAAGGAAAGGTATTGTGATTTCACTCAGCCATATCAGTCGCATCAAGAATTCAGAACTCGGATCGATGCAAAATAATGCAAAACCAAAAAGAAGTGGACAGCCAAACAAATTGAAGAAATCAGATTTGCAGAAGTTTGATAAGATGACATCAAAACCGAATCCACCAATACAGACAAGCATGGCTAAAGCTCTTAACGTGAGTCAGCAAGTTGTAAGCTATCAACTAAAACAAAAGTCGAAGAAAAAATGCCATAAAAAACCTAAATGTCATCATTTAAGTGAGAGATCGATGCAGATTAGGAGGCAACGTTCATGGCCCCTCTACAAGTCTCTCCATAAGGACAGATAGCGAAAGTTCATTACAACTGATGAATCTTGGATCTATCTATCTGATACCAATGCTAAATCTAAAGTTCAATATCTTAGCCGTGAGCAGAATAGGCGAGACTTGACACCCTCAACTACGGTGCCTCATTCCAAAGGCGTAATGGTTTGGATGGGCATATTCGCCCATGGTGTGACCAAACCTCGGTTTGTGAAACCTGGAGCCGAAATAAATTCTGAGTATTACATACAGAAGACATTAAAGCCCTTTCTTAAGGATGATTACTACAGATTGTACCCTAATGGTGATGCTGTGTCTTCCAGTAGGACTCTACCCCACCGTATGCATCTAATGTCACCCAGAAATTCCTTACAGATCAGCAAGTGCAATTCCTGAGACCAGAACAATGGATTCCAAACAGTCCTGAAGCTGCACCATGCGACTACTTCTTATGGGGACATCTGAAAAACAAACTGAATAAGTGAAGAATTTCTACATTGAGAGGCTTTCAAAGAGCTATTAGAGACGAGAAGAAGAAAACCCCCCAGGAAATCATTTTGCGGGCTCTAAATTCATGGTTGAAGCGTTGTAGACAAATCTATTATGCCGGAGGTCGACATATTGAAAAGTATCGCTAAATTTATGTAATAAATCTTGGAAATAAAAACATTCGAAAATGATCCCTATAATTTTTTGTTACCCTGTAGTTTTAAATTTACTACATAATCATGACTTAAGAGCTGAATATTAACGACTTTCGCAAAAAACACTTCGATTTAATGTTAACGACTAACATATCATCGTATATATTAACTACATTACTAACATATCAATTGTATTGAAGTTTTGGACTCCAAAAACTTTTTTGAAAATTTCTTCGATTGATTATTTCAAGAGTTGTTCTATATGGCGATAACTGGCGTTGCTGCGATGTCTGCACTGATGTAAAGAAGATTTCTGGTCGATCTGGTCCTACCAAAACAACGACAATCAGTGCCTTCAAAGCCGCGAGGGCTCAGAGGATAGAGGGTTCGCCTTCCAATACATTGTATACATTGTTCGCCTTCCAATACATTGTCTTCCAATACTGATACAAATTTCAAATCCGGTTTGCACCGACCACAGTGCTGCCGTTAAATATCCTCAGTGGTAGACGGATCATGGGTGAGAGTCCCTTCGCCTTTTCAGGCTAACCATGGATGGTTTTCACTGTTTTCTCTTCATGAAATACAAATGCAGGTTAGTTTTATCAAAAAAGTACCTCCACGAAAATAAATTTTCCCCCATTACTTGATCGAGCAGTTCCCCTGTCTTCTGGATTGGGTTGGTTACGAGGCTACGGAGTTGAATATTAGTGGTCGTAAACACAAATATTGAGTCGGCAGTTCATCGACGGTTATAAAAAAATGAAATAAAATCAGTGCTTTCAGATCCTCCAATGTGCTCTCACTAACTAGAAAAAAGTTACACTGTTAGTGAAACAATAAACGTGGAGGTCTTGCTCTCCCTCTCTCTCTCTCTCTCTCTCACTCCCTCTCTCTCTCACTCTCTCTCTC